GGCCACCGGGCACTGATAGAGGGTCCCTGCGGGGACCCGTGTCCCCCCCCGGGCCCGAGCCACCGTCCCTGCCCCGGCAGCGGGGGGGTCCCAGTCCCAGCCCCCCCACGGCCCCATCCCTGCCCCGTCCTGTGGCTCCCGCTGTCAATAAACCCCGTCTAGTTCAGCCCGGCCTCGGCTCTGATTCCCCCGACACCGACACCGGGGCTACCGGCCACGGGGCTACTGCCCCCCCCCCGGTCCTGCTCCCTGGGGACACGGGGACACTTTGGGGACGGGGTTTGTCCCACGTCACCCATCTCCTCCCTGTCCCTGGGGTGTCCTGGGCTCCGCACTGCGCGGCACTCGGGGTCGGTCACTGGTGGCACTTGGGGTTGGCCACCAGTGGCCCTGGGTTTGGTCACCGGTGGCACTCGCTGTCAGTCAATGGTGGAACCTGGGTTTGGTCACCAGTGGCACTTGGGGTCAGTCACCGGTGGCCCTGTGGGTCAGTCACTGGTGACACTCGGTGTTGGTCACTGGTGACACTGGGGGTCGGTTACCGGTGACACTTGGTGTTGGCCACCAGTGGCACCTGGGGTCAGTGACCGGTGACACTCAGGACCAATCATTGATGACGCTTGGTGTTGGGCACTGGTGACACTCGGTGTTGGCCACCGGTGGCACCTGGAGTTGGTCACCAGAGGCACTTGGGATTGGTCACTGGTGGCACTTGATGTTGACCACCGGTGTCAGTCACTGGTGGAACCTGGGGTTGGTCACCAGTGGCACTTGGGGCCAGTCACTGGTGGCCTTGGGGGTCAGTCACTGGTGGCACTTAGTGTTGGTCACCAGTGACATTCAAAATCGATCACCGGTGGCACTTGGGGTCGATCACCGGTGGATGTGGGGTTGGTCACCAATGGTGTTTGGGACTGGTCACTGGTGGCACTTGGAATTGGTCGCTGGTGGCATTTGGGTCAGTCATTGGTGGCACTTGGGGTTGGTCACCAGTGGCACTGGAGACTGGTCACTGGTGGCACTCAGTGTTGGTCACTGGTGGCACTCAGGACGTGTCACCGCCGGCCGCAGGGGGGTTTATTCACCC